TCCGAAAAAAAGTGGTGGAATGTTGGGAGAATTCAAAAAGATAGTAGGTAGCTTGGCGGATGAGAAAGGGGATCGTAGCTGAGGGGGCAGCTTTGAGCGGTTCATATTCCACTCCAATGGCAGAACGTGAGCAGTTCATCACAGGAGCTTGCTATTCCATGAGAAGTCGGGACCTTATAGTAACAGAAAAGGGGAAGGAGGAGGTCAGTGAAGATGGTGAAGGTTACCTTCAAGAGGAGACGGTCTTTAGGCCCACGCAACGTCTCGTGCGCGGCAATCTGCGAACATTGGCAATCGAGCGCACGCTTGCGATAAACTCTTTAGTGTCATTGAATCGTTCGCTTCATTTTCCTGCCACGCTTTTCATTCTGGACCTGGGTCGTCATCACCGTCAGATTTTGTTTTATTTGCCTAAATAGAGTGATCACTTGGCAACTGTGGTGCAGAGAAACCTGCACAGATTCTACTCGCGAGTCAGTTTAGCTCATTAGCTGTTCCCCTTATCGCTTGACAGTCACAATGCTTTCTCAGAGACTGTACTTATTGTCGTATTGTTGCAGAACGACGGATGTCCTGTTGAAAAACTAGCAGCGAAATGTCATTATCGCGATAACAAAGCCATCGCCTGCGCGCGCCGACCTTAACCATACGGCGATTGTCGCCCGCGACGCCGCGCGGTCCTGCCTTCACATACCCCTCCCCTTCAAGTACAGACATCGAGGGGCGGTTTGGGTCACCGGAGATGATCGAAGTTCGTGACTTTGTTAAACTCACTTTTTTTAATACAATTTAAACACTTGAATTATGTGGACGTCCAGTTGTTTCTCTGAACAATGCAACTTGAAGAGCAAAAATGAAAATTTTAGTTCAGCGTCAAGCAACTGCCACATATGCTTGGAGCCGCTTACTGTGATTACTAGCAAGAGATTTTGGATCGAAATCACATTGAAACCTCTTCAAGGCGATATGCAGCATTCACGGAATAGGCGTACCATTACGTAGTCTTTATTCTCGTGCCCCTCATCTCAACCGCTTTTAAAAAGGACGATCCACCAATGAAGAGGGCACAACAGTCGCCCAGCCACGCCCACATATTCGGCGTAGACCGCTCCTCTAACCACGTTTTGGGGCTCGATATTAGGGGGAGCATTTTGGGACATTCGAGCCGCTGCGTTGAGCGCATCGGATCGCATCACATTCTCCAACCTAGAGTTATCGTACTACATAGTTATCCATTATGCCTGAGCAAAACTCAGAGTGATGAAGGTACTTGGCGCGAGTCGTCACCATGTTGTGGCGTAGCGCGGATTTCCAGAGAATTCCCTTCTTGAACTGCAGAGTATTTTCTAGCTGTTAACTTCGCACGCTGCAACACTGTTTACAACGCCTCTTTTGCATCAGGTCGCAATTAAAATCTCTTGAGAGCCGCAACTTGGACCAATAGTCGGAAGCGTACTTAGATTTTGGACCATTTCAACTTTGGCGCTCTGTCGATATCACAACTAGCGGTACACTGGGAAACAATATTAATCTACTATGGCACCTGTGGCACTGTTTCCACTTCGGAATGCTCAGTGAGCCTACCATAGGTTCATGCCATTTAATAAGTCGTAAAAGAGAGAGAGCTCCATTATTATACAGCTATATCGCTCTGAGAAGCACTTAAGACCTTTGCGATGGCAAAATAGCAAAGAGAGAAAAAAGTTAAAGGGTGAAGGATTCTGCTGAATTGAAGAGAGCGAGAGAATGAATGAAATCCGCGATTAATAGAGAAATAGCACGAGCAGATGGGTGAAGACGTAAGGTAGGGAGAGAAAGAAAACGAAAAGTGCAACGTTGAGGCAAAGACGTGCGCGATTTATCAAAAAAGCTGGGGAGTCAGTGGGTAAGTGAGCGATGTGAAAAAAGTTGATTGTAAAGAAACTGCAGGGATGATGGAGGACAGCCGGAAGTACGCAGGTAGGAAGCAAATATAAGTGAGTAGGCTGGAAGGAAATTCGGTAGTGAAGAAGAGCAGATAATGAGAAATGAAGCAAAGGAGTAGAAACCGTAAGGAAAGAAAAGTAACCGTAACTGAGGTCAAATGACACGATAAATCGGCGAACTTACATGGTCGATACGCCTAGCAGAGAGAATAAATATTGAGCCCCTTAGCAGGTGCTGTGTTGTCCAATAAGGAGCACTGAGAGCACCGTTAGAGCGAGAAACCAAGGGCATCATGCCGACCCAGACGCCCACTGCAACCGTCCGCCCCACAAATGGTCCTATAATCGACGTAACCCTTACCGCTTGTTAAAGTACAGATAATGTGAAGCGTTGCTTCATGGTTGTATGAATACATGAGCCCTTTCTATCGCAGCAGTTATAATGCCGTGGAGAACAAAGGTTTTTTTTCGCAGGTTTTGGCCTTTCGACTTCGCTCTTTCGCTATTCTCCCACTATACAGCATTCATGCTATTAATTTTGAGCAAGTACCAAATTATCATGCTTTGACTCCAATTGTACCCCTGAAAAATCGTTTCAGCCTTCAAGACTAGCCATCGGAATTCCCACCAAGCAGCTATTACGGGTGCTAAAGGAAGCGAAGCATTTTCTTGGGGATGAACTGCCTTTTTTGTGAACTGCATGCTTCTTCACGCGGAAGAGCTCATTTATGGACCAACTTCGTGCAGAACATTGCCAGTCGTTTGTACTTAATTGCACATATTCACGGCTGGTCGTTGGTTGGTTAGGGATCTCCAGCAAGAAGGGTGCTTTTTTGGTGGCCAGGGGAGGGACGGTCATCTTTGCGACTCTCCAGTTGACTACTCAACTTTCAGGGAAAGGTCAACTGCTAGTGGCCTAGAAGGACATAGAGCGAGCTTTAGGAGTTCCATGTAAGCTTCACGTTGTATCCACACCTTAGCCAAGGAAATACACTGTCAAATCACTAGCCAGATTTCAGAGTACTTGAATGCTTAGTACTGATGAGGGCCATCATGGAAGAAGATGGAATTCTTTTCGTGACATAGCGAGGACTTCCAAAAGCATTTGCGTTGGTGAAATAATAGCTGGTGCAACAAGTATAGCAATTCGGGCATTTCTGGTTTTCCCCTCCTCTAGAGGTTTCGTGTGAGGCCTCCTGTGAGTATTTGTAGTACGACAACATTTTACCCTCTCATTTGACCTCCTAACTGTTTATGCACGAAAAAAAACGTCTTCATATGTAATATGCTTACTCGCCAACTATTCAAGAACACCCATGGCTCAGTAGCGTCCACAACCTGCGAAAATGCGTGGGTTGCGTGAGCGCGTGTGCCTGGTGACGGCCATTGACCCCACATCGGCTGTTTGTCATGGCCGGCCCTTGTGGTGATTGCCCCGGGGGAGTTTGTCGCGATCACATCGCAGAATGAGTTCCGGCTGTGTTGACCCCAACTGGTAGTCAAAAGAAGCTTCAATATATCATAAAGACAGAATGAGATCCCAATAATAGAAGACATTAGGGAGGAAAGAAGTAGGGATTTGAGGGATTCTCCTATGGGACAGATATAGCACAGAAACTTTTTTCTCCTGATGATCGATGTATTGTCTTTCAGGTGGCCACCCGCTCTCCGGACCAGATCCATCAAGTCCAACGAAAAGGGATGTCAAACATCGCTTCGAGATCACAAAGAAGTTGGGCTCCGGTACTTATGGAAAAGTTTCGCTGGCATTCGATCACAAATTCGACCGTGAGGTAAGTGAATATCAGGTGATACCTGCCATTCCTATCATTCTGTATTCCTAATTCTCACCTTTTGCATTCTTTTGGCATTCGCGTTCACTTTTCATTGTGATCACGTCAAAAAGCTTAATTACGTTCGTGCCTTCTGGTCCCAACTTTACTTTTTGCTCGTCTTGAACGCGAAATTAGAGGATGCTGCAAGATGCTGCAGATGCACGATTGTCTTCTGAATCATTAAGCATTCATGTGCATTCCAGACAATTAAACCACGCTTGAACTTAGTAGATTCCACTTTGAACCGTGGGCGGAGGCATAAACCTCGAAATGGATTCTCAGGGACTTGAAGGCACATTTTGCGGTTACCCAACTCGGAGTAGTCGGTCATCTGAGGTCACCCTAGTCCCCGAGAGTTATTCACCCCCTCTCGTGGCTGTTTTGCAGCGAGCGCGCTACTTGCTTGTGTCCATGATCAGAAAGGCCCTCTCGCTCTCTCTCTCTCTCTCTCTCTCTCTCTCTCTCTCTCTCTCTCTCTCTCTCTCTCTCTCTCTCTCTCTCTCTTTCTCTCTCTCTCTCTCTCTCTCTTCTCCTCTCTTCTCTCTTCGAAAAACCGAATCCCTGCCCCATCTCATTTTCGCGCCAGTCAATCCAGTCGACAGAGTGCAACCTGGCCGCGAAAGAGGCGGCTCCACATTAGCGCTGCGTTGACAGTTCCCGTTTCTTCTTCAGTGCTGGACGGTATATGTGGACAAGAGAATCGTAATCGTCGCATGGGCTCGCGTGCGGACGTCGCGCCCGCAAATAAGGATGGTTTTCCAGTTTTGTAGATGCGACAACAGGCAATGTCCAAGTTCGAAAATGAGTCACGAATGGTCCACGTCCGACGGGGGTCTACATGGAATCGCTGTCCGCAAGTCGTCAGGTTAACGCAAAGCCCGCGCCATCGCCGCGCGTGGCGGACGACAAATTACGATCCGCTTGCCCGTCTCCCCTGCTGAACCAGACGCATTTTACCCACTTGCGGTATGTGACAAAGAAGCTCGCCGCTGGTACCGCGTTGGCCGGCGTATGCGCTGGACAATCACGATGTTTCTCAAATCATTACAATTGGCACATGACCGAACCCGGCACAACGCCAAGACGAACCACAAAATAGCCATGTCAATATCACGATACCCGGACTACCCATAAAAGGTGATGAAGCTCCAGTGACAGGCCCATGCAAATCATAGAAACGCGGCCGTCGCCGCGCGCTGCGACATATTGCCGATATTTCCTTGGCTGTATCTTTCTAGCACTATGCACTATTTCAAACTTTTAGTGCTATATACTTACGACCCTCCCAATCGTAAATGTTGCCTTTAGCCGCCGGTCGAGGTCCGATGAAGCTTGGAAGAATTCCTCAAGTAACTGACTCCAGTAGTGGGCCTTAGTATTAGGGTGTCCGGAAAGTTTTGAGAAATTTCAACCAGCTCACACTTATCAACAACAATAAGAGATAGTAGTTCATAGTTATAATAAATATTGTCCATCCTATGTCCCTTACCTTTTGGGCGGGATTACCTTGCGTGGGAGCTAGAACTAAGCGAGTACTGAGAATGAGGGGGCGTACGCAACATCTAAGCTAAACTTCCATGGAAGAGACCGATTGATCTCCTAGTATAGATAATTTTGAAGCGCATTTATCCAGCATCGGAGGCGGTTCCTCATTCCCGATTTGACCGATAGAGGAGCCAGAACGGTGAAGATGAAGTAAAAGGCGTTGGGAGTCGTGCGCGCTCGTACATTTTTCAGGTAATGTCAAATCATACCAACAATGGAGAATAATACCAACCAGCATTAGTATTGATCTACAAACATTTCTCTTTCTCATAGCACTTGATATATGACTTTCTGTTGGGGCATTCGCTTGCTACACTTCTTCAAATTAAAAGTGTGAAATTTTCTCAAAACTTTCCGGACAACCTAATAGTTCAGATACTAAAATGTTCGGCTCTTTCCACTTTTCCTCGAAATCGAAATGTTCTAGTGCAGTCAGGGCACGCCATCGTTGTGATGATCACAACGGGGGGTCGTATTTGACCGCGAGGGAGGGGGGTCGTATTTGGTCAGAGAAAATTTTTTTGATAGTTGATTTCTCTTGTTTCACGGACGCTATAAAGGGGGGGGGGTCGTATTTGGTCGTTGTTGGGAGAGGGACTGCCAAAGATCTATACAACTACTATTCCG